CCCAGAATTCCCCAGCCAGCATTTGTGGACTTCGACTCCCAGAATTCTGGGAGTCGAAATCCACAGACTTCTTAATGTTGCCCACCAGGTTGAAAAACACCGTGTTAGTCCCAAAGGCTTATCTCATTGAAATAAATTAGTCCAAAAGGCTTCTCTCATTGAAATAAATTTGGGACTGACTGTGGCACCACTCCCCCTGAAGAGGCCCACAGTTTAAGCTGTGTTTTGACTTCAGATTCCTGCTTATGACAGTAAACACACGTGTGTCATACTACGCATCTTCATCACCTTCTGCCTAAGATTAAACTGATAATTACTATGAAAGTGTAGACTTTCAAAAACAACAACCACAAAACAGTTACCAGAATGATTAATAATAAATTTCAGACGGGAGAAAAGAGATTTCCTGTTGCAAGTGTCTACCCCCTTTGCAACCGCTCCAGAACAGATGGGAGAGATTAGGAGTGACTCACTCTGGGGGCAGAACCAGAACGGCGGACGGATGAATTTAAGGCCCGAAACAAAGGGTGAAATTGGAAAATTAGAGCCCCCCCCCGCAGAAACATCTGTCTCCGAGAAGAGCGCCTGGCAAAGCAAGGAGGCACTGATTCCAGCTCATGCAAAGCCTCTGCCACATGTTTCCAAACAACTCCATGCTGCGAGGAGTGCGCTTGGCGCATCGCAAGGGAAAAGATTGGCATGAGTTCAGGACAGCGCGAATGCCAGATCAGCAAGCCTCGGGGGCGCAGGGAGTGATTACGAGAGAAGCTTCAATGGCTTCGCAGGCAGGCTGAGAGCCATGGATTTTTGATGAAGGGACGTCAAGCCGGCGTTTGAGGCTTCGCCTACACTCAGGGAAGACGTTGGGCCCACATAAGCGCCGGCTGTCATCTGCTTCGTCGGTCTAGCCGTGGAGTCCAAAAGAGGATTGCGGAGAGGAAATGGGTCCGATGAGAAATCTAGGCCGGATTTTCAGAGGGCAGAGAGAGAGAGAGAGAGAGGGAGAGAGAGGGAGGGAGGGAGGGAGAGGGAGAGAGAGGGAGAGAGAGGGAGAGAGGGGAGGAGGGAGGGAAAGCAGTGACAGTGGACAGGGGTTTGCGGAGAGGAAGAGGAGAGAATTGTGGGGTCTTTGGCGTTTCTCTGAGCTTGGTTCTTTTCTTGCAGACGTTTCATTACCCAACTAGGTAACATCTTCAGTGCTAGAAGGGGTGAGATTTGCAAGGAGGAGGAGGAGGAGGAGGAAGAGGAGGAGGAGGAAGAGGAGGAGAAGGAGGAGGAAGAGGAGGAGTGTGGGTTGGTGTTTCTCTCGGCTTGGTTTTTTTTCTTGCAGGCGTTTCATTACCCAACTTGGTAACACCTTCAGTGCTACTATTGATGATATTACCTAGTTTGGGTAATGAAATAAAGGTAGCCTGATCTGCAGGCTTCACATAGATCCACATTTAAAAAAAAAAAATGCCTGAAAGTTTTTCAATAGTTTGGGACTGGGGTCACTGTCGCAAAGTTTTAAAGTTAATTCTTCTCCACACTTGCCTGGTCCAATTTGTACAGCCCTAGATATGCTGTAGAGCAGGGGTGTCAAACTCGATTTCATTGAGTGCCACATCAGGGTTTTGTTCGAACTCGGGGGGAGGGGGCAGAGAGAGCTGTCCCCCCCAGCATGATGCCACTTGCATCGGGGTGGGTGGGTGGGGGAGGACTTGTGGCAGCCCGAGTGCTCTGCCAGCAAAAACGGGATCCTGAGCTCCATATTCGGCCGCGACAGCCTCCTGCAACCCCTTGCCAGCAAAAACGGAGCTCGGGAGGGCTGCATGCGGCCCTCCCGAGCTTCGTCTTTGAGGGCAGAGGCATTGCGGGCCAGTCCTTCGCAGTTTCCAAGGCAGTCCTGCGGGACAGATCTAAACACCCCATGAGCAGGGGTGGGCTTCAAAAATGTCAACAATGAGTTCTCTGCCCCGTTGCTGGGTGGGCAGGGCCATGGTGGCCAGCCCCCTGCTCCATGGCAGGGGGGAGGGGGCGTTTTTCCCTCTCCCCAGGTCTGGAGGCCTTTGTTAGGAATATAAGTCAGCTATTTGGGTTAGAAATATATAAACCAGGATAAACATTTTAAAACTGTAACTTTAAGAAAATGCAAAACTGTAATTAGGTGTGGTTTCTCAAACAGCCATAAGATGGAGCCAGAAACCTGGGTGGTTTAGTCTTAGTCTCAGAAGAGAGTGTGAGTGAGTTTCTGTTTCCTTCTGTTGGAAAGTATTGCCGTTGCTCCATTTCTTCTAATTGACTGATATTACTGGATTTAATGTTAAGTCTGATACTGAACTGTTTTTTGACACTGGACTTTGATATTTGGATTATCCCTGGATTGAAAAACTGACTGATTTAACTTGTGAATGATTTTGGACTGCTTATTTTGGACTTTGCTTAAACCTTTCTGGAAGTAAAAACCTACATTTACTGTACAGTGTATCTGTGTGCTGTGTGTGTATTATTCCAACACTACTCTCTATACGTCTCCCTCTATGCGCTCATTCTCCTAACGGGGAATTACCTCAACAGCCTTCCTTGAGTCTCTGGGATGGCGAAAACTGCCTCCCCCGGGCTCCCGAGGCCCTCCAGAGGCCAGAAATGGGCCCATTTTCAGACTTCCAGAACTTCCATGAGGGCCCATTTTTCCCTCTCCTCAGGCTCCGGAGGCTTTCCTCGAGCCTCTGGGAAGGCGAAAACTGCCTCCCCCGGGCTCCCGAGGCCCTCCAGAAGCCAGAAATGGGCCTGTTTTTAGAGGTCTGGAACTTCTGGGAGGCCTGTATTTTTCCCCCTCCCCGAGCCTCCGTGAGGGCCCTGCATTTACCTCACATCCAAAATGGGCCGCGTGAAGATACCTGGGGTGGGGAGGGGGTGGCTTGGTGGGCAGGGCCAGCCACGGGTGGGATTTGGTGGTTCACCAAACTAGCCATAAGATTAGCAACAGGTCCACCCGGACCTGGCCAAACCCGTAGCAGTCCACCCCTGCCCGGGGGGGAGGGCGGCAGGATCCGGCCCATAGGCCTTGAGTTTCACATCCCTGCTGCAGTTCAATCACCATGACACGCAGAGGTGGAAGATGAAGAGAAGGTGGAGGAGAATGTTAGCACTCTACTTAGAGACCTTCAAAAGTCCTTGGTTGGTCTGGATCTATTTTTCTCTTACGTTAAGGTTGCTTCAGTCAGTTCTTCTCATTCTGTTGGTGAAGGAATTGGAATGTTCTGAACTAAATTTAAGTCGGTTCTATAAAAAAAAAAGGACTGTTATTAGACCAGCAATAGAAAGTTCCTTTTCTTCTTGTTCCTCTGTTTCTTCTTTCTCTTCCTCCTCCTCTTCTTGTCTTCTTTCCTTCTTCTTTGCCTTCTTCTTCTTTCTCTTCCTCCCCCCTTTCCTCCTCTTCCACTTGTCTGTCCTTTTTCTTCTTCCTCTTCCTCCTTCTTTTCCTCTTCTCTTCCTCTCCCCCTCTTTTCTGCATTCCTTCCCCTTTCCTTCTTCCTCCACCTCCTCCTTTTCTTCTCTTCCTCTTCATTGTCTTACCATTTCTCTTCTTCTCTGTTCCCCCTCTTCTTCCTCCTTTTCTCTCCTCCTTTTCCTCTTTTTCTCCTTCCTCCTCCTCTCCTTTGATTTTTTTTCTTCCTCTCCTTCCTCCTCTTACTAATCAAGGAGAGAAGCAACCTAGAACTAAGGAAAAATTTCCTGACATGAGAACAATTAACCAGTGGAACTACTTGACTCCAGAAGTTGTGAATGCTCCAACTCTGGAAGTTTTAAAGAAGAGATTGGATAACCATTTGTCTGAAATGGTATAGGGTTTCCTGCTTGAGCAGGGGCTGGACTAGAAGACCTCCAAGGTCCCTTCCAACTCTGTTATTCTGTTATTCTGGTCTTGACCAATTCAGGATTTCATCATTAGAGCATCCTTAATGGTGGGTCATCTAGTCTTTATTTAAAGATGTTTTCAAAGTCCAATCTTTCTGTTCTGCTCTTAAACCAATTTTGTGTGATTGATTAAGTGCCATCAACAGAGTTAGATTAATCTCCATGGAAACCTGACTTACTGGTTGGATTTTCTTCTCGTATGAAAGGATGGAAAGGGTACCTGGAGATCACTTATATTCCAACCCATTAATTCCCCACCCAGAATCTGAATCCATTGTTATACAGCCAGTCCTGCGACTTACGACTGCTGTCGGGATAGGAATTTCCATGGCTAAGATCGTTAAGTGAGCGGTGTCCAATTTTATCACCTTTTTGCCATAGTTGTTAAGCAAATCGCTTAATTTTTTTTTAAAAAAGTGGGTCGTGCGGCCATTAAGCAAATCCGGCTTCTCCCGTTGACGGGAGTTGGCTGGGAAGGTTGCAAATAGTGATCATGTGACCAGGATGCTGCAACCGTCATAAGTATGTGCTGTTTTCCACACGCCTGAATTTTGATCACACGGAGGATGATGCAACTGTTGTAGGTACAAGTGAACCGGTTGCAAGTCCCTTTTTTTCAGAGCTGTTGTAACTTTGGACAGCCACTTAACCCATGGTTGTAAGTTGAAGATTACCGTAGTGTCAACTTTCAAATCAAGCACTCCCAGGGGATGGCCAGTGGGGGTGTCT